AAAAAAAAAGGACTGTTATCAACGCAACTTATCGTGACAAAACGTCGACCTCGACTCCGAGAGAGAGAGAGTGAAAAAGAACATGATGATGACAGTTCATCGGAATTGCCCCTCGGGGGGCATCCATCAAAATTGGAACGAGATAAAAAGCATAGAGAAGATTAGCATGGCTCCTGAGGGCAAGGATTAAAAAGGAAAACATAGGAGAAAAAGGAAAATGATCGGAAATGCGCGGATGATGCGAGCTGAAAAGATGGATCCGTTGTTCAAAACAAGAAACACAAAAATTCAAAATTTAAAAAAAAAAAAAAAAAACAGAAAGAAAAAGAAGATGGATGACCATGGCATGGATTGCCACTGAATTCGCAGCAATCGCAGAGCCGGCAAATTAACTATTACCGTTCATATGCGTCGTTCTCAACTAAATCGACACACAAAACTCCCAACACCATAGCGATGGCAGTCTGCTCGCCTGCTTCGCAAACATACGCGCATACACCCGCACAAACACAGCAGCCTACAGCTAGGAGCAACCGTCCCAGGACATCTCTCTCTCTCTCTCTCTCTCTCTCTCTCTCTCTCTCCACACACACACGCAGCAGCGTACAGCCGAGTACGCACTAGGAGCAACCGTCACAGGACAGCTCTCTCTCTCTCTCTCTCTCTCTGTCTCTCTCTCTCTCTCTCTCTCTCTCTCTCTCTCTCTCACACACACACACACACACACACGCGCGCGCGCACACACCCACATACACACTGTGTATATCTATCAGTTCAGACTACGGTCATCCCTACCCGACCTCTCCGGCTACCCTCTTTGTCTCGAGTGTTATGTACAGAATCGCTCCTCCGCCAAACTCTCTCTCTCTCTCTCTCTCTCTCACAGACAGACAAACGGCAACACAACGACGCAGTGCACGCACAAACAGCTACACAAACATGAAGTGCCACACAAGCCGACCCAATCACGCACAAACAGACACGAAGAAACACCCGCTTCCGTACTCCGCTCTTTCGCCGTCCGTCCTCTGCTCCCCCACTCCCCGCATCCGGGTAGAGGGGCTCGAAGAATTGCCGAGGGTGCTGGCAGACTGTGGACCTCGCTCCACTACTCTGCAAATGGGCCCAATGAGGCCTAATCTTCCCCCAAAACATG